CCCAGCCTTAAACCAATGTTTTTTGGTTTAAATTCCAAAATATATATTTTCACAAAAAATTACTAATTATACAATCAATGTATTTTTAAGCTAACGCTAGTGAAAAAATCAAAACCACATTTTACACACAATGGGCAATAGAAGTGTCACCCCCTGAATCAGAAGTATCAAATGATTATCAAATAATTAATAATCAAAGTAGACAGATCTTGAGTGGTTATAATATATAAATAATATGTGAAATTTGATGATAACAAAATGATACAAGGAGAATTTTTCTCCCCCAAAGTATTGGTTCAGTAGGGCTGACACTTCTATTGTCCAGTTTGTGTAGTTTTGTGCACATTATCTTCTGGAATGCAACTATTGTAACGTCAGTGCAGAAATGGCCTTCCACATACTATGCAAAGTTTGTGCGAGATTATTTGTATTTGTAGTGTTTGTAAGTTATCCATATCTGAGGATATCACGCACACATGCTCATTGAGGCTCTAATGTATGGATATAGCTGGTTATTGGGGGTCTCAATCTGGTTCGCATATAACCAGTCCACTGTTGCGTTGGCTATACGTGGAGCAGTATTACCATGCTGAAACATAAATGGGGAGTCATGGTCCCACAATATACCATGTATTCTCGACAGACACCCTCAAGTTCCGTTCCAGTACTGATCTCCGTTTTAACGTAGGGTCTAATGTTGAATTTGAGTTACCCATTCTCATTATATTGATGAGTGTTACCATTGTCTCTCCTAACACAATCGATATAAGAAAATGTATAAATATAATCGTACTAATACATTTGACAATGTGTTGACAACACTGTAGGGTGACAATATATGTATCAATACAAAAATAATGTTCTCATAAGGAGTGGGAATTGAATCCTGTAAGTTTAAACTCAAGTTTGAAATGCAGACCGAGGTATCCGTATGTCACTCATCATTCCGTCACACATCTATTTATTTATTTATTTATTTATTTATTTATTTATTTATTTATGTATGTATGTATTTATTTATTTATGGTGCATTGCACAGGTGCATTTTAACATTACTTACATGCATGGTCTAAATATGTGTATTCAAATTACAACAACAACAATTTACAAACATGTATTTACAAATAGAGTCTTTAAAGATAATATCATTATCAAATCGTCAGTCTAATCAGTTAATTAGGTGGATGTTGGTCAATTTTTTTTAGACACCCCTCTATGTACTGACAGTTTCAGGGATTTGGAAACCTGTACAACCCAAATGAATTGTACAATTTGTCATTAACGATGGACTCCTCGTCTTCAAAAACAACCCTCACACAGTCGTTTTTTCGAAGATACATTATTCCTGATAGAGAGAGACAATGCGTCAAGTTTTGGTCACGTGCAATCAATACCTTATAAAGCATGGTTTCTGGGTCGCTACCATGCCGGATCTTCTCTATCTCCAGAGAAAAACTTTTACGAGAACTGTTTTTTCGAACGCGCATACATATCTGGCTGTACACGAGAAAGTGTCCCTCTCGCTGCACGGATAAACACCTCGCAGAGGAGATGTATCGGACGTCCCCCTTGAGAATTAATTCCACATCTTCTTTCCATGTAAGAGCTGAATATAAAACAATCATTTAGAATTAACTTAAACTTAAAACGTGATTTTGACCCAGGGTCATTGCTAAGATCTTCATTAGGCTTTGTAAACTAACAACTAGTATGGACTGGCAAATAATCTGCGGTAAAAAGAAGAATCACCGCAGATATGCATGCGCGTTCATTTTATTTTATTCTTACTTTCCACGTTTCATTTACTTACCTTAATTTAACAAGATAGGCAAATCAAAACACAACAAATACTTGAAACAAGTTATATTTACGCTTTCCATGATAATTGTTTTGTTATATTAGAAAAGATATTTGCATATAGGTCCTATTGAATCAGCTCTGACTAAAATAACAGCGTTTATTATTTGTCTAAACTATCCCATATGAACGTGTATATTAAACTAATAAATAATTCTGAAGCCAAGAGGACTCACTGTTGTTTTCGACCTCGCCTCTTAGGTGTGCTAATGTCAATGGGGCGTCACTGTTTCGGGATGTTTGGACATCTGGAAAGTTGGAATACACACATACATTACGTTTTTCTCATTCATGATTCTTAATAATTTTAAGCTCCCAAAAGTATGTTCAATTTAGCTAACTTTAATTGCTCATCTGTCTAAATATTACATATTAGTAAAACGTTATATATATGTTTTTAGTTCGTTTTTATATCCTCTACTCTATGAAGATATAACGCATGTGTGACGCATACCCCATTTCCGTTAATGTAATCGAACTACAGTCACGCTCTAATCAAACTGCTTTCACAATGAAAAAGGTCAGATAGCAGGCTGAGGTTTACCCCGTTGTTCACCTTAGCTACCTAGGCCGAGGTCTGCTCGGTCTAATGATTCATATGCGCAGTGCATAACATCGTTTATGTAATCCAGTTTCACATCACTATTTTTCTGGGAAATATGTGTTTTGTTGCACACATGTTCTAACATACCATTCAGTTTTCATAGCATATTAATTTTATCGCCAGCCAGGAATTTATCTTCCCTCTGACACCACTTCATGTGAATGAACAGAGCCTTGTCATCATTTCCGATCTTTTTTTTTTTTTAATTTCCATCGCCATATATATGTAATACTACGGAAAATTATTGAGGGGTGGCAAAAATATTATCTTGGTTTGTTCTGATATGAGGATTAATTGTTAGCTTTCAGGTGAAAAAATATTTTAAAAAAATCCATAATAGGGCAACAGTATTTTTCGGTAAGACAACCACTGCATTGTGAGAAAAAAAAAGGACGTTTTCCAGCAGGTAAAATTGTGGCTCAAAACTCACAAAAATAATATAGGTTTTGGAAAACTTGTTTCCTAAAAAGGTGAAGAATAACGATTTAGATAGGAGAACATAAAAAGAAAAGGCAAGTTTGTTAATTTGTTTAGCATAGTGGCTTTAAAAAATATTTACCATATAACTCCCTTGCCAAGTTATTCAGTTTCCGCGTGATGTTGTCCATCCCTCTCTCTTGCAGGTGACTGTGTGTGGCCAAACTCGAAATATTTCCCAACAAACCTAAAGGCAAGGGTATTAAAATGATTTATTCGGTGCATCATTACATGCTCTCTCTCTCTCTCTCTCTCTCTCTCTCTCTCATACACACACGCGCGCGCGATATGAAATTAACCTTGTGGTTTTTATCAAAGATGGAGAAATTGCAAAACAAGTCTGATAAAAGGCAACAATTAATGCACATCTATAACATATACTAAACATTAGTCTTCGTTCATGAAAGCAGGCGTAGAAGTAGGACACACAATTGACGAAAAAAACAAAAGCCATAATCAGCATTAGACGCACCATTCAACACTTTATTCAGTGAATCAACAGTGCTGTTGGATTTATTCACTTCTTCCATAGTTGCTTGTTCTTTCTTTTCAGAATTGTCCACGAGCTGGAATAAGATAAATAAATAATCCAATGCCAACCCAGCAGGCATAGCTGCGTTGGATCAACGTTGAAAACAGGTTGATACACTGAATTGCCGTTGATCTACCAAAATTCAACGTAAAATCAACGTTGATCCAGCCACGTCGAAACACCGTCATAATGTGACGTAGTCAGGCAGTTAAGTCCAAATTATATCCAGAATTGTGCAAAAGTTAATAAAAGCATGACACTTTCCACGATGAATGACCATTGGGTGTTTGTCAGTTTTGGATCGGGGGGCAACTCCAATATTCACAAGTACCCGGATGAGTGGCTCTCTTAAATATGCTGACTCAGCATTTTATGTACATTCAGATTTCACCAAAACGAGTATTACCAGCACTAATTATGATATCATAAATAGATTATAAAAGCGTACGCTCACTGTGCACATCAATGAGAGCAAAGGTGGCGTCACGATGACGTCACTGGGTGATATTGCACAATATAGAATGACGAATATCCACTTTCTCCCATAGGAACAATAGTTGAACCCTAAAATGTGTCTTTCCCGTAATTTTTTATTACAGAAATGCATCCTTTAGGACTAGAAATGTAAAGTTAGCTTGATTGATACTTCCAAGACATTGAGCATTTTAGGAAAAGTTGAAAAACAATCAGAACTCGACGGATATACTTCATTTGCGGCTCTTGTAAATGTGTTTCCTGTCGGAGGAACACAGTAAGCTACAAGACTACATCCAAGCACATCACTGTTACCCAAAAGCTGGCCGCCAAACAGGGTAGAGGCAGAGGGTAAAGAAAATCAGCAAAATCAACATATATTTATTTCATCAGTCTAATTAACGGCATCTTCAGATTAATTTATCATCTTCTTTTGGCATCTTCAATTTACATTTCTTCAGAGGAAGATCGTTTTCGATCCGAGCGAGACGAGAAGGCAATTTTCATATTCGTACAAGGGATTTTGTTCGCTGAAGATTGGCAGCGGATGATCGTTACCGATCCGACCTAGAAGCCAAGGCAATTTTCATACCTTCAGCGGGAGGTCGTTTTCGATGCAAGGGAGACGAGAAAGCAATTTTCATATCTAAGCAAAGGACCTTGTTTGGGGCAGATCGTCAGCGGGATTCTTTTCCTTCAACCTTTGGTGGCTTAAGGGGGCATAACAATAGCAAAGGCGTTTCAAACTATTGTGATTCACATGCACACATTTGGAGTTCCTTTTTCTGGCCACATGGGTCCTAAAAACCCTACGAATAGGGGCCGACATCAAGAAAGCCACACGGAAAGTACATTGTATGCAGCAACTACGATCAGTTTCAGCCGACAAACCGAATTTAAGCCACGGTCACAACCGGCAGTACGGGCTCCTACGGGCTGCTTGCGTACAAATTTTGAGCAGAATCTCACTTCCCACCCAACGGTGAATCAATGTTGTTTGTCTGCTGGGCACGCACGTCCTTCTAACGAAATTTCGAGTTCGCAGACAGCCCGTAAGCACGTGCGGAGGATGTTGGACAAGTTTAAAAGATTTTACGAACGGCCTGCGAACAGCGAGGCCGCAAGCGTAACTTGCTCCCCTTGCACGGAGTTAGCAAGAGAGGCGCGCGTTGTGCAAGACGCACGTCGCAAGCTATGAAGGAGTAAATGCCTTTTGCGTGTTGAGTAAAGCCTATGTCCCAACCGAACGTGCGGGCTACGTGTGGTCTACGGCCAAAAAAATGGGGAAAACGTGGGAGTTCGTGCGTGAGGAGCACGTCCATCGTGCGACTTTTGGAGGTCGCAAACAGCACGTAGAAACTTTTCGACATGATCAACAGCCGCTACGTGCGATCTAGCTACGTCCTAGCCGGACGCAAGGAACCTAAAAACCGTGCGTCCAAAACTTAGTTGCGACCTAGGCTTAAGGTGCACGCCCTCAAAACTAACGAACAAAGTCGAGGACACACCGGGAATGCTACGCACGTGCGTCACCCTCACGCCTGGTATTTAAAAGGCTTGCTCACGACGCACGATTGTGTCTTTACTATGAACGTCGACTGTGTAACGTGAACAACAATTTTCAAAAATTTTCAAATGTTTGCTCAATTGAGTTTCTAATATGCCTCCAAAAGGCAGGAGAAAGAAGCTTACATGGTAGAAACAAGGGAAGAGGAAGAAGAAAGAAGAGGAGAACAGGAAGCAAAACTGACGTACGCCGTCAGTACGTCAGCACAAACGTGTGGGGCAAGTGTGAAGCAAAACTGACTCAAAAGGGCACTACTTTCGCCGTACGTTGCATTCCCTTCGTAAGTGGTGAGGGTGTCCCACGTGCACAGGAAGCAAGACAAACTCAAGAAATGAGTACAATTTCCGTGACCACCGCTCCTTGCAATTGGCGTCCCTGCTTGAAAGGATATCTCCTGTGGCCCTTGCGACTCACAAAGCAGAATTTCCTCTACCTCTACGACCTCCACGGCCTTCGCAACGCCCAAAAATCGCAGGAGAGGTGCGATCCTGAAATTCGTGCGTCCGGTTGTGACCGAGGCTTTACTATAGTGACTGATTCGAGACATCGATATATCGATTCGTAATGGGACGCGTTATTGCGATATCACGATAGCACGGTGCGATATCACGATAGCACGATGCGATACCACGATGGCACGATGCAATAGCACGATGTCCCGAATCAGCCACCATACGAATCAGCCACCATATTATTTTCATATTCGTTGTAGGGACTTCATCAGCAGAAGATAGAGATAGTTTCGAGATAATTATGAATCCAAGCTAAACGAGAAGGCAATTTGAATATCGTCAGAGGGAGATCGTTAGCGATCCGAGGGAGACGAGAAGGAAATTTTCATATTTGTTCAGGGGCCTCTTTAAAAGAAGATCGTCAGCGGGAGACCTGGTGGTTTGGTTGCGTCCATTAGCAACTGAGTGAAATATGCTTATGTCTAGCCTTGAAAGAGCAAAATGTATTCACATGGCTGAGATAGTAACAACTGACGACTGAATGTTAAATTTGCATTAAAATCCACGTGCTCCAGCAGTTCAGACTCCCACCAAAAAGAAAGTACCAAAATAAGTGAATTTTACATACATTTTTATGTTATTTTTTTTTAATATTTTTATTCACACCCCCCTCCTTTGAAAATTTTTCTTAATTTTTTTCATTCTTTTTCTTTTTTATTTTTGAATGTCAAACAAGCTGATAATGATAGATAAGGATCATGGCTAATTAGAAATCAAAATGAACCGAAAAATCGAGGGCGTAGAATATACCACTAGTTACACCACTGATAGACTGATTTTACTGCTATACTTCATCATATGCTGTATGCGTTGGCGGCCATTTTGATTTTTCAATAACAGAAACGTGCTCGTATGCAGTTAATTATCCTACCGTGTTCTTCCCACAGGAAATACATTCACAAATAAAGTATATCTGTCGACTGTTGGTTGTTTTTCTATTAAACCCTCAAAAATTGACAGTCATATTGAAAATGCTCAAAGTCTCGGAAGAAGAAACCAAGCCAACTTTACCTTTCTAGCCCTAAAGTATGCATTTCTGTATTAAATGTTTACGGGAAAGATCATTGCAGGGTTCGACTATTTGGCATATAGGAGTTAGTGGATATTCGTCATTTGGTATTGGGCAATATCACCCAGTGACGTAATCATGGCGTCATCATTTCTGTAATAGATGTGCACACAAAGTGTATGTTTCTCAAATGTATTCATGTTATCATAATAACCGCCGGCAGTGCTCATTTACGTGAATTCTGAATGTACCTAAAATGCTGAATCAGCATATTTAAGAAAGCTGCTCATCCGGGTACTAATGAATTTTAGAGTTGCCCCCCCCCCCCCCCGATCTAAAATAGACGAACACCCAGTGGTCATTCATCGTGGAAAGTTAAATGCTTTTATCAACTTTTGCACAATTGTTTGGCTTAGCCGCCTAACTAACGTTGACTCAACGTTGTATTTTGGTCAATGACACAACCTTGCAGACATGGATTGTATTTTAAAATATTAATTGTTGAAAACGTGATACTTTGTTTATCAAAACTGTAACTAAATGTATCAAAATAATCAAAAAAGTGTTTAAAGTAAAAGTGACAGTTGTTTTGTGTCTTTATTAAACTAGTGAATTTTCTTAACTTGTTATTCAGAAATACATTCCAATAAACTGAACTCCTTGAAAGGTCAGCACTAGGATAAATAAGTTGGAGTGAATTAATAAATTTAACAGTTCTTGGTAATTTGTTATATATAGACATGTTGAGGTGACTGTGACCTTGTAACACATACATATATATATATATATATATATATCGTAATCTAATCTTGGACATTTTAACTTAAAGGTCATACTTTTATACCCTACCCTCAGGTCATTTCAATGTCTTTTCATGCAAGAATGTTGTCTGACAACTGGGGCTGATTCAATGTTGTTATCTGTCGTTAATACAACGTTGTTATCTGAGGTTGAGTCAACTTTCAAATCCAATGTTTACCCAACGTTTTATCAACGTTATGATTCAACGTTGTTTCAATGCTAAAACAACATATTTTGCCTGCTGGGATACCTTTCCACTGCACTAAAATAACTGGGATTTTTAAAGTAGTACGTCAACTCTTTGCGTAATATTTTACTTCCTCTTTTTTTTAACATGAGTAACTCGGATGACAAATGGCTCTGTAAAATCACAGAATAAAGGACCATTCCCACAAATATGTGGATCGATCTAGATCCCTGGGGAGTCTCACTAAAATGTTATCAAGCTTAACAGGTTTAAATGTCTGTAACGCCTAGTAAAGCTGTTAGGGGATACCCCTAGCTGATTCGATAGGCGTGATAGACATTTAAACCGGTTAGGTTGACAGTATTTTGTAAGAATCCAAAGGGAGATAGATCGATCCAGATGGATCAATCTAGGGATGGGGACCCAGTCTTAGTCTAATTTAGATGACAAAAAAGGAGGTAAAACGATTGGGGCTACGTTACTTTAAATCAGCAAGGTATTTTTGAAATTACAAATAGCCCCTTCCTGTTTATTAGGAAAATTTAGACTACATTATGATTTAATTACCCATTTCAATACTTGAAATATGGTGCAGTTTCCTATTTGGTTCCTGATATCTGAGCCTGGTGCACACATATTTGCCGGACCACCGTACTCGTTCTCTAAATCAAGGCTTTGAATCATGTCTATCGGTTTGCTCAAAAGAGCGGTCGTTTCCCCGGTAGATGCTTTGCCGCCGTCATGTCGATGAAGGTGAATCACAGCCCCCACCACAACTATGGCTAACATCTGTAAACACCACATAATGAACATCACCATGAGGTAAAAACGCAACCGCTTTAGTTTCCCATGGAAATGAGATGTATGCTGCTCTTCGTGACTATTATCATCCTCACTGAAGTCGTCAAACGAGGCCGGGCCTACATTGGTGATGTTAGAAGGTCTGATGGAGGCGTACAGACCGTCAGTGGTCGTGGACTGGTCCGAGTACTGTGACGACGCTGGCAGCGGGGGCTCGTCGTATTCACGTGGACGTCGAAATTGGTGATGACAACCATGAAAATTCATCACCGTCAGAAACGGGACTGCTTCGTTTTATCAAATGGCGTTTTGGAGTGACAGTCCTTTTGCAGTATAAGACTTTTTTGAAAATAAATAATTCACAACCCACTTATAATCCCGGCGTGTTCATTTATTTAGATGTTACCTTTGGTCTGTCAATTCGAATCAATACACCTGGTATTTACCAGCAAATTCACTTTTCTTATCATTGTTCAAACATGGTCACATGCTCTTTTCCGTGTCAAGAAAGGTAACGCTTGTCTGTATGCAGTAGACGTCCTTGAGTCATAAAGCTATGTTTGATATGTATATTTTCTATAACTATATCTATGCAAAAAAGCAGTTACTTTCATGACCCCAATATATCCAAACATTGCCTTTTAACTTTGCACTAAGTGACGCAATGATATAACGCGTAGTAACACCTTGGTAGTGCGTAGGTCACACTGTCGCAGGAGAGGAGGCTGTTGCTGCCGCTGAAGTTGTCAAAGAGACAGTAAGTATGACAGATATGTTGTAGCTTGATGATATATGAATGAATGTCAGTAAACATTTATGGTTCGTGAGTACTCACACGCACATTGAGATGGTTCATTGAGCATTTTGGATAAAATTCCCAGTGTCGCTTGTTTTTGCGTCTTCATAACTAGGTCAGCCAAGCACTTATTAAACACTCACCTCTGTTGTAAAATACTGTGGCCTTTATATGGCCTCTCACATAGGTAAATCAAAATACAACCACTGAGAATAAAGTTGGGATTTTTTGTCTCTCTAGTCAGAGTCCAGCACCCCTTGACCCTCATAGAGTTAATTTGAATCCTATATAAGGCTCATGTTACCCAACTATCAGAATCTTTAGACTCTCTTATCAGAGTCAATCACCCCTGGCTCTCATGGAGTCAATCTGACTCTAAATTCAGTCAAATTACCGGATACCAGTGTCTGGCTGGCCCCTTTCATCGACTCTTTTCGCTGGCTAGACAGTAAGCATCGTTTCAGAACTTGTGATGGCGGAGAGTAGACGGCGTTCAGAGAAATGAATTTATTGTCGTTTCATGAGTCAACGTAAATGTGTTAGAGAAGCGAGTCAGGTGAGGAAATGAGTTCATAAGGCGGGGAATTTGAGATGCGCAGATTGAGCATTGCGCATTAGTATAAAAGGAATAGCGAGACGAGTAGTTTTCATTCTAGACTGTTTCAGTCGTCTGCGTCAGACTTGTGAAGTAAAGCGCGAATGTGGTAAAAAAGGAGGCAGGAGTCAGATTCGGATAGTGAATTAAGATTCCGACAAACGAGAGAGCAGAGATTTTGTAGATTTGGTGGTAGACGATAAAGAAGAGGGAACGAAGAGACATAAAAAAGGACAGGTGATGTAAATGAAATCAGTTCAGTCGGAAATATGGCAGACACGTTCTCGTTGTTAAAAACCTACATGGGTAAAACAATTCAAATAGTTGAAAAGAGAACACGCAAAAGAAAGTCAAAGCCAATACAAAAAGGTCAAGACGGTATAGCAAAAATCGTAATTTACGGGAAATCAAAAACAGTTAGAAACAAATACCGAAGTAATTGAAAACATTAAAAAAAACAGATATGTTAATTAAGAATGAGAAGGTAAAAGAAGACCGTAAGGTATTGAAAGAAAGCATTGACATTTTACAAAAGCATAATAAACTCATAACAACAGCAGAGAAGTAAAAATCAGGTTGGAAAGCAGTAAAAGGATTTAAACTGAACGAGTCAATTTTGGAGGTGTTTCTGACAGAGGATATTTTCTTTTTCGGAGAGAAAGATGCCCAAATCAAAACGACAAGTGATTTGCCTGCGGGAAATATGGCTATTGGAGGGGGTTCTGCACAAGCAGATATCAAACCCAGGGTACAGTGCCTCTACGTGAAAGAACATACGGACAAACAACTCGGGAAAGAGAAGATACAGGTAGTGAGAGATACAGAACTAATAGAAGCAAGACGAGCAAATCAAAATTATAAGATAAGTATATGATCGATAATAATTTGAGAGATACGGATAGGTTGGAGAATTACCAACAAAACATTAATGTTAAAGGGAGAATCAAGAGAAGCTACCATTTCTGGGAAAGCATACAGATTTATAACTGTGCTTGCCACCCTGGGCTGGTTCTCTTATGGACAAGCTCTTAACAGTCCTTGGTAACCTGTTATACATAGACAGGTTGAGGTGACTGTGACCTTGTAACACACACACACACACACACACACACACACACACACACATATATATATATATATATATATATATATATATATATATTAATCTAACCTTGGAAATTTTAACTTATTTTAACTTTATACCCTACTCTCAGGTCATTTCAATGTCTTTTCATTCAAGAATGTTGTCTGACAACTAGGGTTGATATAATGTTGTTATCTGTCGTTAATACAACGTTGTTATCTGAGTTTGAGTCAACTTTCAGATCCAATGTTTACCCAACGTCCTATCAACGTTATGATTCAACGTTTCAATGTTAAAACAACAGCACTATAATAACTGGGATTTTTAAAGTAGTACGTCAACTCTTTGCGTAATATTTTACTTCCTCTTTCTTTTTAACATGAGTAACTCGGATGACAAATGTAAAATCACAGAATAAAGGACCATTCCCACAAATATGTGGATCGATCTAGCTCCCTTGGGAGTCTCACTAAAATGTTATCAAGCTTAACAGGCTTAAGTGTCTGTCACGCCTAGCAAAGCTGTTAGGGGATACCCCTAGCTGATTCGATAGGCGTGACAGACATTTAAACCAGTTAGGTTGACAGTATTTTGTAAGAATCCAAAGGGAGATAGAGCGATCCAGATGGATCAATCTAGGGATGGGGACCCAGTCTTAGTCTAATTTAGATGACAAAAAAGGAGGTAAAAAGATTGGGGCTACGTTACTTTAAATCAGCAAGGTATTTTTGAAATTACAAATAGCCCCTTCCTGTTTATTAGGAAAATTTAGACTACATTATGATTCAATTACTCATTTCAATACTTGAAATATGGTGCAGTTTCCTATTTGGTTCCTGATATCTGAGTCTGGTGCACACATATTTGCCGGACCACAGTACCTGTTCTCTAAATCAACGATTTGAACCATGTCTATCGGTTTGCTCAAAAGGGCGGTCGTTTCCCCGGTAGATGCTTTGCCGCCGTCATGTCGATGAAGGTGAATCACAACCCCCACCACAGATTTGAAGCATGTTTACAGTATGATTGCACTAGTCTACTGCGGTTTGCAGTATGATTGCAGTAGTCTACTGCGCTGGAGTATCTACTTCGTTTTCTTGCAGTACGTATTCAAAAATGGATAAATCATTCCATTTATTTAGACTCCGTCGGATTCACTTATCAAGAATAACAAACCATCTCTCGAAAACACAGAATTTGTCATCAAAGACATAAAAGATTTGTTAAAATTTGTTAGAATTTGAGAAGTGAAAGAAATCTCAAAGGTGGTAAATACGTTAAGGGTTACTTCTAACGGCAGTACTTGATTTAAGACACGTGAATCCATACATTTGGAAAGAGAAAATAAAATCTGAATATTCTCAATGAATTAAAATGTTGCATGTCGGATATAGACAGACTAAATCGTAGAGACATGTTCGGGAATGTTGTACCAAAAATACTGGGGTTTTCAGATGCAGGCGAACACACACACTTTGGTTATTTGTTTTGATAGAGTTTTGACATTTGTCACAAAATGTGATCAGATATTGAGAAAAAGCAGAGCTCAACATGGAGGCAATATAAGTCGTTACTTATTTCATTGCAGTCATTTACAAAATTTAGGTAACTTGTTTTAATTCAAAATTTAAGAACTAAAATACAGAAGCTGATGATGCGTATTTACAGGATTTGTCAGATGAAAGTAATTGGTGTTAGTGCCAAATGTTACAAATCATGTATTATTTTGCAAATTAAAAGGTATTTTAGTTTTACCAGATTGGAAATCGCCAACATTTTGGTCTAAGTTACAGGAAATGGTATGTTAAAGATATCATAGCTTTTAAGAATGGACATTTGCAAACAGCGATAACAAAAAGGTATAATATAGAATCAAATAATTCAAGAATCGAATTCTGGCAATAGTGAAATTGCTTTGTATAAAATGATTAGATCGAGATCGAATTTAGAAGAAAATAAAACGGTTGAAAATTACATAGCGAGATAGAAATGTACAGGGAAGAGAGTAAAACGAGGTTTGTTTTGATAAAATTAATGAGAGCGAAAGGCAATGTGGCAAATAATTATTATTAAAAATAAAATTATTAAAAGTAAAATGCAATGGAGCATGAGTAAATCTGATTTGACGGATTCTCAATGGATCATGATATTAGTTACAAAAGATTTGCATGTATTGAAATCATTTATGAAGAAGACATAATGAGATAATGATCAATGACAATTTGGATGATAATGGAATCGAGATGTGATTCGATGCGAATCGTGATGTGGTTCGATATGAAATGAAATGTGATTTGATATGAATCATGATGTGATTCAATGCAAACTGAGATGTGGTTCTATATGAAGTGAAACGTGATTTGTTATGAATTAAGATGTGATTCGATACGAATTGAGATGTGGTTCGATATAAATAGAGATGATATTTGATGTGATTCGATACAAATCAAGATGTGATTCGATACAAATCCAGATGTGATTAGATATGAATTGAGCTGTGATTCAATATGAATTGAGGTGTGATTCAATACTAATCAAGATGTGATTCGATGCGAATCAAGATGTGATTCGATATGAATTGAGATGTGATCCAATATATGAATCAATATGTGATTTGATATGAATCTAGATGTGATTTAATTATATGAATGGGGATTTTGTATCAGTTTGAAGTTAAAGGCAGAATTGAGATGAGATCGAGTTCGATATACTCTTAATGTGATTAGATTTCAAAATTGCAAATAATCCAATGATTACATGACAGACAGAAATGTTTTATTAGACATATTTGAAAAGAGGAATTGTAAAGTGAATGTGGAATGGTGAAGTTACCATAATGAAATAGATCGAGCTTAGAGATGATGATAAGAGATAAGTAGCATAGAAATTCATTTTCGGTTTTAATGCAAACATTCATTTTTATTGCAGATTTTCAGAACGGAGATATGGACAAAGTTGAGAAAGGCACAGGGCACATCACCAAAGATTTTGGCTGCAAATTTACCACAGGTGTTGGAACATTTGTGAGCAGAAAATGCCGTATGCAAATACTCCTATGTATTTCAGAGAACAATGGGCGAGTAATTTTGTAGAAGTAAATATTTTTCCAGCTTACAAGCATGACATTGCACTTAACATGTTTTAGTTTTATACAACAGTATTGTAAATCAGGAACGATTAAAGACGTTAATTGGGGTTTAAAATGGGCACATGAAATATGTATAAATGCAAATTCTTGCGATAATCATATGATTATTAATATTGTTGAAGCGTCAAAGAGAA